CGTGAAAGAAAATGTCGCATAATTGTCACTTATCCGGCGGATATATGCGAAAGTTTCTCGCATACTAGAAAATTATGCGATTGTCTGGGATATTTAATTTCCAGAAAATGCGAATTCAACAAATTGTGCGATTATTATGGGATATGATATGCGAATCGCACAATCAACCTAATTGTGCGATTATTATGTTACATGTTATGCGAATCGCACAATCAACCTAATTGTGCGAATAGTCGTAAACAATATGCTTTATTCGATTTGGTTATGCGATTATTCTTAAATATGCGAGCGAAGAAACGTCACATAATTGTCAATTATCCGGAGGATATATGCGAAATTTCTTCGCATATTCATAAATTATGCGATTGACCAGAAAATGCGTATTCAACAAACTATGCGAATTAGATGCGAAATATTTTCGCAGTCATAAATTTGCAAGGTTGATATATAGCCCTGCGAAAGGAAGGCGCATAATCATCGTAAATTATGCTGCAATCGATTTGTATATGCGATTATTAAAAATGCGAAAGACGTTCGCAGATTTGTAAATTATGCGTTTTGATGTGGATATACGATTAAATAAACGCGAAATGTTTACGCATAGTCAGAAATTATGCGGCCGATTGGATATGTGTTGGTTCATTTTGGACATGCGAGTGCAATATCGCATAGCATTTCGTGAATTTTGGGGTGTAAAAGAAGTTATTTGACGGGGTGGTGTGAAAAAGAAAGAATAGATATATAATGGGGTGAAAAAGATTTTGACCCCTCTCCTTTATCTCTTTGACCATATAATAAATTAAGCTAAAAATAGTTAATAGAATTAGATTCTAATATTTTCTTGCTTTTAGTATTTGCAATTTTTGTGTGCAAGACTAATTGCATTACATGGTCAAACAATCAGCTTCAAACGTCACGGAAGCAATCTAAAAAACTAATCACAACAAATATCTTTTTTCTTCGGATCCTTAAACCAATCACAATACAGATGAATGAGAGTTCTAACACATTTTTGTCAGTTTATTCCTATCCAAAATCCCAAGGGTACCCCAACCAGACATTGCATTTTACCTCTACAGCCCTCTAAATTTCTTCCCCAAGTTCTACCTTTTGAGCTTTCCAATTCGATAGTAGGCATGATTGTAGATATTGCACAGTTGTTTTGTGCTATAAAATCCAATGTTATAAGAACCGGACCGGACAGGCCGGTTCGACCGGTTCAACCGGGAACCGGCCATTGCACCGGTCCGGTTATATGAATTGAAAACCGGTCAAAACCGTGAGAACCGGTCAGGAACCGGTTGAACCGATGAACCTGTACCGGTTCCACCTGCTCAGCGGTTCTTGTAAACATTTTTTTCTTTTTCATTAATATAAATCTGCACAGAACTGAGAATCTTCTCAAATCAACTGCAAAGTTTGAAAATCAAAACAAAAATACAAGATACATGATTTTATAATTCTCCTCTAACAACCTTGATGCTCCATCCGCAGGATTGATTCTTCCGCCTCTAACTAGTCAGGTGTAGAGATTTTCTCTAATGATTGTATAAATAAAATGGTGTGGACATATGTGGCTCCTACAAAATAGACATAGAAGTAACCGATATATAAAANNNNAAAAAAAAAAAAAAAAAAAAAAAAAAAAGTAGAGACGAGACGAAGACGGCAGAGTTATGAACTAATGATCACATTTGTGCCCTAGTTGTTTTAATATATATCTGTGTGAATTGGGCTTCTTTTTCAATTATGTTTGGTCTTCATTTAATTATTTACAGCCCAACTGAGAAAACATCTCATATGTGGGCCTAATTTGATTGCATTTGTTAATTTATTCATTTTAAATTATCAAAATCATATTAAATTACATTTACTTTTAATATATTTAAATGATTTTTTATCATTAAAAAATATATTATTAATTATTTATAAATTATTATATCAATTAATTTTAGATATTTACATGTTTTACACTATCTAAATATTTAATTAATATATTTTTATACTTAATATTTATTACTTAAAATACTATATAATATTTTAAAATATTATTAAATTAAATACCAGTCCGACCGGTTCAACCACTGATCCAACCAATGAACCATTAAACCAGTAGGTCAACCGATTCGATGACCGATCCGGTTCTGAGAACTGTTAAAAAAAAATAAAAAAAGCTTTCCAAACCGAAAGTAAACTATGACGAGACACCATACAAAGAAGCACAACCGAAACAAGCTTCCGCGCTAGAAAGTCGTCAAATATGATATTTATACACGCACAGAATCCGACATGCGTCATGCATTGAATGTCAGGAGTAAATGGAAAACAAACAATAAAGAAAAATCAAAGTCTAAACATGAGGCTGCTTTTACTGGAATCTTGACATTTACCCCGAGAAGATGGCAAAACAATAAAAAGAGAGTACAGTATCCCTCCCAGTTAAAAGAGTATAAAGGACATGCATTGGCTGGCCCAAAGGAAGCAGATTGCTGGCTCTATTTTTGTCTTCACTGCTCGAAAACAGATACAAATCTATAGGCAAACTCCCCTAAATGTCAAAAAATGTACAAAACACAACCAGAAATACCCAGGCAGAATATACAAAGCATCTAGCCCAACCAACAGATGACCACATTCTCAATCCAAGTTTGAAAAGGACTAGTTTGCACAATCAATCGCTAGCTGGCGTGAATCAAGCCAAGTATTTGAACAGGTTAGGGTTGTCCTTGTCCCTCTCCAAATAATCGCGGGTAATCAAATCCTCAATCCTCTTCTTGATCGCTTTGACATCGGGCTGGAGAGGAATAGGGAGGTCTCATTTCAGCGTAATATTCACAGAAATGCGGTGAACTGCTGGAAAAGATTTTTACAAAATGAAAAATACCACAAATTTTGTACTCTACCTTGAACATGCGGCCCAATTGTTCCATGCACTCGGCAACTAACTGCTGGTAGCCCAAGACCTTTCTACTCTTCATGATGCGCACAATTGAAGCATCAATGGCATAACGTCTGTCCTTGTCAACGTCCTCGATTACCTTCTTTTTCTCATCCACTGGAGGCAACGGAATCTACATTCTCAAAGTTATATTGTTATACACAAATCAATCCCGCAGGTAGTGAATTTAGCACAAGAAGAATTAGAAAACAGAGAGGTGAGAGATACCCTAATTCTCCTCATCTTGTCAGTGAACTTGGAATTGAATTCAAAAACATCAGATGGAGAAATTGTTCGGGTGTTGGGCTCCTTGTTCAAAATCTTGTGCTTGGCGCATGAAAGTGAGTGCAGCAGTCGGATAACGTCATCATCAGGTAAGTTCAACTGAGTCATGATCTCACGATAGCTCAATTTGTCCGAGGTGTTGAACAGCAACAGGACAGCCGCCTGGAAATACAGATTTCAAAGCTAAGACCAACACAAGCACCAATTGTAAGGATCAAGGATTTATATGAGATAACCATTACCTGATAGGTGGACACATTTAGCTCTATTGTTTTCTGATCAAATTTTCCATTCACAATACAAGTTCCCAAAGAATATATGAATGTTAGTTTCCTGTGCTTTGTTTTTGTCTGGTAGAACTCCCTAAATACCTCAACACACTTGACCTGGAACAAAAAACA